GTATACAACATGTGCTCACTTGCATCTGTATCAAATTTTGGTAATCGTCACAATATTTCAATCCTTTTATAATGCTATTATACACTTATTAGACTGCAGCATACTGTAAATGTACCTTTTATATGCATTGGGAAACCAAAAAAACCCATGTGACTCACTTTAGTACCATATTCACTTTATTGTCATGCACTAAAACTGCCATATCTTTGAGGTATCCTCATATATCTTTTACAGTTTTTTCATTTAATTTTTTCTTTGAACTCTTTAATCAATTAAAATTCCTATAGACCTTAGTTGTCAGTAGCATTTAAAGTAGGTATTGCAGTAACTAATTTTTCTATATGTCTTCCTATTACACTGGAAGGTCCTTGAGGCAAGAAGCATTCCTTTTTCAGTTTTATATCTTAAAGGACCTAGTATATTGTTTTACTATATAAACAACTGAACAAGGACAAGAATTATTAAAAATAAAGGATAAACATTGGACTGCTAACCACAAGGTTGGCAGTTCAAACCAACCAGCTACTCAGCAGGAGATAGATGAGATTTTCTGCTCCCATAAAGATTTATAGCCTTGGGCACCCTACACAGTGTCGATTTGAGTCAGAATAGACTCAACGGCAGTAGGTTTGGTTTTATGTATACACTTACCTTTTAAAGTTCTTTGAGTCTAAAACCTGATTTTGTAATTTTTTTTTGGTTTTTGCCTGTTTAAGTCCGAAGTCATCACTATTTACTGTGAATCTGTTCACAAAGCCACCATCATCTCCTAAGAGGATGTTATCTCTGCAAAGCTGGTCTGGCAGTGGTACAACACAAACACAGAGAAGGCAATGATCCATAGGCTTTATGATAAAATAGCTTTCCTGCAAACAGAAGAAAAAAATTAATGAGTAAATTACCTTGCTTTCCACAACTCATCTGTCAATTTGTTGTACTGTGATAGCTTTCATGTTGATGTAATTCTGGAAGCTATCCATTTACAGAAAAATGAAACATAACCAGTATTTTAAATACCAGCAGGGTTACACACGGTGGACAGGTTTCAGATGAGCTTCCAGACTAATATAGACTGAGAAGAAGGAGAGATGGACTACTTCTGAATATTTAGTCACTGAAAACCTTAGGAATATCATTGGAACACTGTCAGCACTAGAATATTCAATAATGGAACATGATGAAGAACACTAGACTATTGTCAGATATAGTGCCAAAAAATGAGCCCTTTAGGCTGAAAGACACTAAAAATAAGAAGGGAACAGCTGCCTCCTCAAAATAGATTATGCAAATGGAAGAAACTTTCAGGGGACCTCCATTTGTTGATAATGCACAACTAAAAATAAAGGAAAAAACAACAAAATCCATTAATAATTGGAGCATGAAATGCATGAAGTATGAATCTCGAAAAATTAGAAGGTATTAAAAATGAAATGGAAAGGGTTCTAATACAGGGCACACACAGACTACCAAACATTGTGAAAATTGCACAAACAAAATATGACAAAATAGATGTTTGGGACATTCTAAAAATTACATATTTATGTACATCAAAAGATTTCACCAAAAGAGTAAAAAGGGAGAACAGAAAATGGGGGAAAAAATCTTTTTCAATGACATATCAGACAAGGGACTAATTTCTAAAATCTATAGGAAACTGCAACACCTGTACAAGAAAAGAAATTTAACTCTACTTGGTATATATTGATAAGAAATACGAACCATAACATGAGTAGATACATGCAGATCAGTGTTCATAGCAGTACTATTCACAACAGCAAAAAGATGGAGACAGCCTGAGTGCCCATCAGTGGAAGAATGGATAAACAAACTGTAGTACATACACACAATGGAATATTATGCTACCTTGAAGAATAACAAGGAAGCTGCAAGCCACTGCATCAATATTATGCTTAGTGAAATTAGTCACAAATGGACAAATATTGCATAAGACCATTATTGTAAAAGCTTAAGAAAAGATACACATACTAAAAGGAAAAAAAAAAATGTGTCGTTACCGAGGTGGGATGGGGTGAGGTAGGGGGAGGGGATGGTAGAGCACAGGGTAGAGGATATACACATCATATTTCGGGTATTGGGAAGGGAAATACACAAGAAAGAGGAGTGGGATAGAAGAACAAGGTAGGTAGATGGGGAAACTCTGAGGCAGGTTTGCATGAACTAAATGGGATAGAGGTAAATAGTGATGTATGTGCAATCTTGGAACAAAAGGGCTCTGTGATACAGGGATCAAGTCTGAAGGGGTAAAAGAGGGGAAATAATAGTAAGATGTTTGACTGTCTTATGAATGTTGGTTTCCTTTGCCTACTATTATAAAATAGATACTTGTGTGGAATATAAAGGAATATCGGGAAACTTGATTACAGAAACTTTTAAGGCCATCTTCAGCCTGTAACTGATTGTTGTTGTTGTTAAGTGCTATCGAGTTGGTTCCGACCCATAGTGACCCTGTATAAGGTTTCCAAGGAGAGACTGGTGAGATTGAACCGCCGACCTTGCAATTCAAATGGCTTTGCAGTCTGACACATTAACCCACAGTACCTCACTTAGTAACTGGTTGGAATACCTAAAAGGGGTTCTAGAACTTGCCCAGTAAAATAGGCTTCTTGCAGAGCCTTTGTAGTGTATAGGACCTTAGGTAGAATCTTGAGCACCTTCCAGAACTTTCTGAGGTGGGACATTCCCACTGGAAAAGACAAGCAGACCAGCCTGGAGCAGCTAGGGGAACAAAAGCTACTTTTTGAATGAAAAACCAGCAGGAAAATTGCAAAACAAAAACCGCAATCTGATTGGCTACTATAAGAACAATCATGTTGTTCACCAGGAAGTCATGGAGGCAAGCAATCAAGTCTCTGCAGGACAAACCCCCCTCTAAGACTGAAACTCAAAGGGAACACACACATGAGCAGGCATGTAATCTTGCTGGTGACCACGTTGGTCTACAGGTGAGTAGAAGAGGAGGGAAAGCAGCAGATATGGGCTGAGTCCGACCACGTTCCATAGACTCCTGTCAGTGTGGAGTTGGGAGAGAGAAGAGGAAGGGCTGGTTGGTCCAAAGTGTGGTGAGACCGGGGGGCCTTCTGAACCCATATATAAGGACATAGCCACAGAGGGCTAGAGCTAAGAGTGAAGCATCCAGCTGATATGAAGTGAGGGGAGATATACAAGAATGCCCAAACTTATAGATAGTATCCATTCGACCTTGCTTTGATGGCTTGATGATCAGACCTTGACTAGAGGAAGATTTAACAAAACTTTTTTTGATAAAGGTTGTTGTTGTTAAGTGCCGTTGAGTCGGTTCCAACCCCTAGTGACCCTGTCTAGTGAATTTGAACTACCAACCTTGCAGTTCAAACAGCTGTGTAGCCTGGTGCATTTACCCACAGCGCCACACCAGTTAACAAGTATAAATTGCTACAATTTGAGGAAATTGACTTATATTTATTGATGTTGCTGTTGTTATGTCGTGTGGAGTCAGTTCTGACTCACAGCGACCCTGCACAGGGTTTTTGAGGCTGTAAATCTTTACAGAAGGAGAAAACCTCATCTTTCTCTTATGGAACAGTTGGCAGTTTCAAACTGCTGACCCTGAGGTTAGCAGTCCAATTCGTAACCACTACACTACCAGAGCTCCTTTATTGATGTAGTAGCTCAAAATACCAACTGAGAGGGAAGGAGTCTTCATATCAAGTATTAATCCTATCCTCTCTGTATACAGGGTTGATAGGGACGGGCACGTTAGACATTGGCTACCTATAATGGGGTGGCTATAAAGTCACAAAGTGACGGGCTTACAAGTTTTCAAAAGGGAGCTTAGTTTAAGAGTGTGTGTATGTGGGGGGAAGGTAGAATACCCATTGAATAGTTTTCATCTTGTCTAGAGGGGTCTGGTGAAAAGAGATGGGGAGAAGTTTATTATGATTCAATAGTGAGTAAGTGTTATCCTGACTAATTGCACAGTCACAACAGTCAAGGTAAAAGGTTTATAACAAAAAGGGGGTAGTAGTTAAATTTACAGTCCAGGAACAGAGGACCTTAGGACCATCAGAGGAGAAGAGGATGAGCAGAATGTGGGACCCTATCCAGAGAAGAAGTGATACCAGAGATGGAAGCAGTGGAGGGTTCTACACTCATGGAAAGAGAAAGGCAGTATGCTGTCAGCCAGGAGGTAGGATTGCAGAATGTGCACCTTAATTGTTTTAATGATTATATATTCCTGAGTGTTTTTGTGTGCACCCCCCCCCCCCCCAAATACAAATAAAACCCAGAGGGACTAGAAGCAAATTGAATACACGAAGGTGATTGTAATCATTGCAATGAAACCATGTGTGCAAAACCAATGTATTCCCATGTAAACTACCACTCAATTCACAATAACTTAAAAAAAGTGAAATTGAATACATAAACATCGATAGCCAAGGCATTAGTTAGCTGAACTGGACTAGTATTGGCCATTTCTAATCTGAAATTCATATGGCTTACTATGCTGAGGATGACAAATGGAAAAGGAATGAAGTCAGATTCATCATCTAAAAGAACATTTCAGGAACTATCATGGAGTACAAAGCTGCCTGTGATAGAGTAATATCCACATCAAAGAAGACTGGAGTTCTGGTACGGTGCTGTAGGATAAGCACCAAACCATAAGATCAGTTTGAACTGCAAGGTTGGTAGTTCAAATTCACCAGTCATTCCTTGGAAATTTTATATACGGTCACTATGAGTTAGAACTGACTCCATGACACTTAACAACTTAACAACAAGGAAGACCAGTTAATACAACTATTATTCAAATTTATGTACCAACTACTAAAGCCAGTGATGATGAAATTAAAGAATTCTACCAACTTTTTCAGTCTGAAATTGATCAAACATGCAATCAAGATGTACTAATAATTATGGCAGTTGTGATGCAAAGGTTGGAAACAAAGAGGAAGGATCAATAATAGGAAAATATGGGTTTGTTGATAGAAATTATACTGGAGATCACATGATAGATTTTGCAAGACCAATTACTTCTTCATTGCAAATACCTTTTTAACTGACATAAAAGATGACTATATGCATGGACCTCACCAGATGGCATACACAGAAATCAAATTGACTTCATTTGTGGAACAAGACTGTGGACAATCTCCTTATCATCAGTCAAACAAGGCCAGGGGCATACTGTGTCCACCAATTGCTTATATACAAGTTCAGGCTGATGCTGAAGAAAATTGAAATAAATACTTGAGATCCAAAATATCACCTTGAATATATCCCACCTGAATTTAGAGATCATCTCAAGAACAGACTTGATGAATTAGATGCTAATGACTGAAGACCAGAAGAATAGTGGGATATCAAGAGCATCATACAACAATAAAGCATCATAAAATAAATAAGTTTATTTTTTATATAAATTATATAAATAAAACATCATAAAGCAGTAAGTCATGAAGAAGAAAATAAAGAAGAAAAATACTAAAATGAATATCAGAAGAGGCTCTGAAACATGCTCTCCAGTGTAGAGATGCTAAAGCAGATGAAAGAAATGAGGAGGTAAATGAACTGGAGAAAAAAATCATAGGACAGCTCTAGACAACAAGTTAAATATTATAATGAAATATGCAAAGACCTGGAGTTAGAAAACCAAAAGGGAAGAACAGGCTCAGCATTTCTCAAGCTGAGGGAACTGAAGAGAAATCTCAAGCCTCAACTTGAATATTGAAGGATTCTATTGGCAAAATACTGAATGATGCAGAAAGCATCAAAAGAAGATGGAAGGAATACACAGAGCCACGGTACCAAAAAGAAATGGTGGATGTTCAACCATGTCAAGAGGTAGCCTATAATAAAGAGCCAA